TTTCCACAGTTTATTGTGATCAGTAGCCTGATTAAAAATCTCACTGTTGTGTTCCATGCCCCATCCACTGTCCTGCCAGCTCCCCATGTGAGTCATCCTTTTGATTGCCTTATTTGATCCTCAATAACTCTGAGGTTTCTCTGATGCCAGAGCCATTGCTCTTAACCATTATGCATCCTTACCATTTCAGGAATTATTAGGATAGAAAGTCAAATGATATCAACCTTAAGTTGAAAATCAAATTATGAAACTACTTAATTCAAATGCTATCATAGATTAAAGGCCGGAGAAAATTAGTAGTGTTGCTTTATTTGAAACACATTACAATAGAATCTACTTGATATTTTTAAAAACACAAATTTCAAATATAAAAGGAAGTTTTATTTGAACAAGGAAAGCACATGATTGAAATGAAAATGAACTATCATCTGAAACTAGGAAATGGAGATTTAAGTGTATTTATAGTATTCCACAACAGTTCTGTCAAATAGAATATGTCAGAATGAAAGAAATGTTTCATATCTGCAGTGTTCAATACAGTAGCCACTAGTTGTTTGTGGCTACTGAGCATCTGAAATGTCTCTAGTAAAACTAATAAACTGATTTTTAACTTTAATTATCATAAAATTTAATTGTAAGTCATCTGTTTGTCTCCACCACTAGACTGTGAGCTCCTTAATGAATGGAATGTTTTATTTCTCTCTTTGCAGTGCTTAGATACATATTAAGGAAAGAAAGTAATTGATGTGTGGCAGAATGTGCGGATAGAATTTTCTAGGAATATCCAAGTAAATTCTCTAAATGCATCAGTCTGATAAAAGTTACAGAGTGCAGACTTAATCTATCAAATTATATCCTGCTTCTACTCTAATTTTTAAAGCAGATAAAATATTGTAATTACTCATTTATTCACCAAAACATGTTCTGAGCTTGTATATAAGACAGGTATTCTGTTGAGTGTTCAGGAGATGATGGCGAATAAGCCTTGTTTATGGCACCAAGAATCTCTCATTCTCTAGGAAAATACATACAACTGTTCCATAAAATAAGAAGAGTATTTTTTTAAAATAAATATTATGGGAACCACTAAGGCAAATAACCACCTGGTAGTGGAGGGAGATACACAAATTGAAGAACAACTCATTTATCCAATCTGAAGATGAATAATAACTCATCAGTTGGAAGATGGTAGGATGGTGAAGAGGCATTCTCAGTACAACAAACAGCCCAAGCAAAGGCATAATGACACAAAAAGGCACAGATCGTATGGGGAACAAAAAGTAGTTCACTATGACTAGAACATGGGAGACGGAACAGGAAGAGAAGGTAGAGAGATAAAGTTATATTACAGCTAGATTCAAATGCCCTTCATGTGCCATGTTACAGAATGCTCACTTAATCCTACTAGGATAGTGGACAACTTTCAGATGTTTAGTTTTTTAAAAGGTAAACTTTAGCTTGCTGGTTTAAGTCCAATAACCCCAATGAACAAACTTTAAAAAGAAAAATCTGAAGGGGAAGTAGAGCTTATAAATAGACATCAATAACTGTCTGACTCCGAACAAGCAAGATTATTAAGATAGGCATTTTAAGTTTTAAATGACCAATTTAAAACTTAAAATCATTTTGAAGGAAAATGCAAACCTTACTTGTATGCCTCACATGAATGATAAGGATGTATCTCTTGAAGATTACCGTGAAGTTTCCTTTTTCTCATACTCAGTAACCCTATCTTAAATTTATTATTGTTGGCAAGGAATCTTTACAATTTGCAAAAAACAAAACCGATTACTCTGTTAGTTTAGGGGGAAAAAAGGTAATCCAGCTCTAGCTGATTATTTTCTCATTAATAGGGCCAACACCTCTCCACCCAATGCAGCAATATTTAAACTCCCAACCCCATATTAATGATATTTGATGTCAACCACTTCTCACAGTTGTTCAGTTCCACAGTTGCCTCTTTCGGTTTTTCCAGTAACATTCTAAACCGCTATCTCTTCCACCTGCAGGTGTCCAGTATATCATGTTCTCAAAGTATTACTTTTCTGCAGGAGTATTATCCTGAACTTATCCTTTAAAATAAAAATAAATCCATTTTTATCATTTGTAGCTATTAATCATAAATTCTGCTCTGAACTTTCAAAGGTGCTCAATGCCTAGCTCCCCTTCTATAGTGAAGTAACAAGCTATCTTCCTCTTACTGACCTCTACTGAGCTCAGTGTTTGTGTAAAATTTACTCAATACATTTCCCCATCCTGACACTTATACTTGAATTAAGCAATCTTTATTTTATTTTTATGTGTTTTTTTATTTAAGTATAGTTGATTTACAATGTTGGGTTAGTTTCAATTGTATAGCGAAGTGATTCAGCTATACATAAATATATTTTTTAAGATTCTTTCCCACTATAGGTTATTAGAAGATACTGAATATAGGTCCTTGATATTCATCTATTTTATATATTAGTATGTATCTGTTAATCCCAAACTCCTAATTTATCTCCCCCCACCACCTCACTATCTCCTTTGGCAACCATAAGTTTGTTATCTATGTCTGTGAATCTATTTCTGTTTTATAAATAAGTTCATCTGTATCATTTTTTTTAGATTCCACATACAAATGGTATCATATGATACTTGTCTTTCCCTGTCCTACTTCACTTAATACAATAAACTCTAGGCCCATCCATGTTGTAGCAAATGGCATTATTTCATTCTTTTTTATGGCTGAGAAATATTCCACGATACATACGCATCCCACATCTTCCTATCCATTCATCTATCAGTGAACATTTAGGTTGCTTCCATGTCTTGGCTATTATAAATAGTGTTGCTATGAACACTGGGGTGCATGCATCTTTTTGAATTAAGAGTTTTCTCCGGACATGCATTCAGGAGTGGGATTGCTGAATCATATGGTAGTTCTACTTTGTTATTTAAGGAAACTCCATGTTGTTCTCTTCAGTGGTTGTATCAATTTACATCCCCAACGATAGTGTAGGAGGGTTCCCTTTTCTCCACACCCTCTCCAGTATTTATTATTTGTAGTTGTTTTTTTTTTTTTTGCCATGCCCCACAGTTTGCAGGATCTTAGTTCCCCGACCAGGGACTGAACTTGGACCCATAACAGTGAAAGAGCCGAGTCCTAATCACTGGACCACCAGGGAATTCCCTAAACTTTTTAATGATGTCCATTCTGACTGGTGTGAGGTGATACCTCATTGTAGCTTTGATTTGCATTTCTTTAATACTTTGTGATATTGAGCATTTTTTCACGTGCCTGTTGGCCATCTGTGCCTCTTCTTCGGCCATTCTGACTGGTGTGAGGTGATACCTCATTGTAGCTTTGATTTGCATTTCTTTAATACTTTGTGATATTGAGCATTTTTTCACGTGCCTGTTGGCCATCTGTGCATCTTCTTCGGCCATTCTGACTGGTGTGAGGTGATACCTCATTGTAGTTTTGATTTGCATTTCTCTAATACTTAGTGATATCGAGCATTTTTTTCATGTGCCTGTTAGCCATCTGTGCATCTTCTTTGGAGAAATGTCTATTTAAGTATGCTCATTTCTCAACCGGGTTGTTTTTGGGTTTTTTTTATATGAAGCTGTATGAGCCTAAGCAATTTTTACAAATTGGGCAGTCTGCTAATAATTGTGCAGCTTAAACAAAGTTTTCTAGTTTATTGCTATATATTCAACATAGAATTTAAAACCCGCTAAAATCTAGACAAACTGAATAAAGAACAATCTAATTAACTCCTCCAACATCTATATATTTTAAACTCTCTGGGTTAAACATTCTCAAGTTGGGAAAATAAATTCTTTTTAGACATTATTTTTTGTTATTGTCACTGTTAACAATACATTTAGGGACTCCCTGGTGGTTCAGCAGCCTAGACTCTGTGATCCCGACGCAGGGGGCCTGGGTTTGGTCCCTGATCAGGGAACTGGTTTCCACATGCTGCAACTACAATTCCATGTGCCACAACTAAAAAAGGTCTCATGTGCCACAGCTGAGACCTGGCGCAGCCAAATAAATAATTTACAAACAACACAACCATCACATTTATGAGAACCTGCTAAATCCCAGGCACTTGGCACATATTAATTAATCCTCAAAAAATCCCTATGAGATATTACTATTTTCATTTGCAAATAAACTCAAATTCTGAGAGATTAAGTAACTTGCTCAACATCAAGAAGCAATGGAGTTGAGTTTTAGAATAGAGACCTGCCTGCCTAAACTAAAGCCTATGCCACCAGTGTTAGCAAATAAAGTTCAAATGTCCACTGAATTGAGCTACTAATATCTTCTAAATGAAAACAAGAAAGTGGAGTAAACAATACGTTGCATCAATTATATTTTCTCTTAAAATATAATGAATCATCAGAATAATCCATAAAGATACAAAACAAGACATTAATGTTAACTATAGTTTTAAAGTTAACACTCAGTAACAGCAATTAGTGACTATTATTTATTTTTTAAGCAATGCTCAAAATTAAGTAGTTTCTACACAGACTTTTGAACATGAAATAATTAAAGAATCAGGTATCTAATCATATTTACTACATATACTTAAATATTTAAAATATTTATTTACTATTTATAAACTGCAGTTTATATAATCAAGTTCACACACAACAAAAAATACTTATCAATAATCAATTTTAACAAATTGGCCAAATATACAATATATTTAAAGCTGGAAAATCTGAGTACTCCAGAGCAGGGGTACTTATACATGTGATAACAGTACAAATAGGTGCACTCAAAGAGTTCAAATTTCAAGTTCTATAAATACACTTTAAAAAGGAAAAATCAACATGCAAACTGTAAAAAGTAATTTATATTGGGAAAGGAAAGCAGTTAATTTTTTAAAATACATGTAAAATTATTTTAGTGGACATCTGCTATTACTACCTGTCCGGCAATCTTTCTCCCTTCTCCAGGAAATGACACTTCAATTTTCCTTTGGGAACTATATGTCACCTACCCTTAATTCATGTCCTTTTAAACTGTATCTCCCTCCATCCTACTCCACAGTGGGAAGAAGATCCAATTCTGAACACCCAAGGCATTCCATCTGTCTGGTCACAGAGATTGTCTCTAGGATGGGCAATGACCGAAGTAAGGCCACAGAGTAGTTTGTTATTGTAACAGAATTCCATTAGAATCAGAAAAAGGGAAGTCTTCTCTCTTCTGGAGTTTCTGAGGTTGTAGGATGTAAGCCCAGTACTATCAATGCCATCTTTCCCAGGGAGTCTGACCCCAAGCTCAACTTTTCCACACTGATGCCCAACCCAAAGCAAGAGGAAGTAGTGGTTACCTGTTGGCATGGGAAAAGATAAATTAGGATTTCAAGTTTCAGTGTTGTATTTCTTATAATGTTTCTATTTTTCAAAAATAAACACATATAGTAAGAAATATAAAATATTTAAAAATACTACCCTGGTGTTTTCTGGTGTTTTCTTCTCAACTATTCTGAGACAGCAAATTTACTGTCTTAAAAAGCATTAGTAATTTTCTCAGAATTTACTTAAGTGAGTAAAAATCTACTTAAAAAGAATCAACTTTTTCCCTTAGCATAAAATCAAGCTATTTTCCTTTCTGGTGGGGGTGGGGGGGGGGGAGTTGTGAGTAAACTTTTTAAAAAGTTAGTTCTCTTTTAAAGGAAATATTAAGAAAAATTATACTCAAGGGACTTCCCTGGCAGTCCAGTGGTTAAGACTCCATGCTTCCAATGTAAGGGGCGAGGGTTCCATCCCTGGCTAGGGACCTAAGATCCCACATGCCGCAGGATGTGCCCAAACGAAACACTCTACTCCATGTGGAAAAAAATTGGTAAACATTTAGCAAGTGTTGCAGTCATTGTAAAAATTGGTCAAGAGGGGAAAAGTGGCCAAATTAGGTGTAATAACTTTTGTCAATTACTCAGTCCTATATTTCTGAATAATATAAAATCTGAAGAGTCAATTAAGTCAGTTATTATTTTACATAATACTGCATTATAGGATAAATTACACACCACTGTTAAACACAGGAAAGTCAGTCTCAAGAGTCACCTCTTGGGAATGCAAAGTCTATGCAACATAGTAAATGTTCTCTAGATTATAAACGAAGATAACAATACACTCTTTTGTTCTCTTGCTCATATTAGTTTCTGTCATTTTCCTTTTCTCCCCAGGTACCCAACCAACACCTGAATCTTTACTTTTTGTTAGCATTACTTGTGTCTTATAACCTTCAATAAGGTCACTGAGGTCTTCCTATGTGGTTCAGCGGTAAAGAATCCGCCAGCAATGCAGGAGACACAGGTTAGACACCTGGGTCTGGAAGATCCCCTGGAGAAGAAAATGGCAACTCCCTCCAGTAATCTTGCCTGGAAAATCCTATGGACATAAGAGCCTGGTGAGCTACAGTCCCTGGGGTCTCAAAGAGTCCACACAACTGAGCTACTAAAAGGACACAGAGCAGCTGGAAGCCAGAGCCACGTTCTCACAAACAAGTGAGTGAGTTCTAAAAAGTTTTTAGGATGAGGCAATATTTAAGAAGCTCAATACCTTAGGCAACGCCAAGAAGATAATGGGACGGTCAACATGTCTCAAGATGCTGACATTTTATTAATTTGTCATATCGTTCAAACCTAAACTCTCCAACAGCTATCAACCCCAAGCTGTTTCATTCCTTTCTCCTGCTAGATAGATCACGTGCACCTGTGACTCAAAGGAATATTTTACCTAAATAAAATAAAGGTAAACAAAGGTATACCCAAGAAACTGCCCCCAAATTCAGACACATCTACTTATAAAACAGAAAGTAAATATGTCTTTCCAAGTACCACAAAGAGAATAAATTATTTTACTCTAGTCCTAACTATAAAATGGTTATTCTACATATACTTGCAAATATCCACAATACTTTTTTTTTTTTAGACATCTGAAAGAGAAGATAAAGAAACCATAATACTACACAGGTAGGAACTTAAAAAATAGTTCGGTTTAAACTCTTCTTCCAACATTTTTACACTGAGTCAATAACGCCCGGCTCATTCTCAAAACATCGTATCGTGGGCCAGGATAGGATAGTGAGAAGGAAATTTGAGAGAGAATGGGTAAGACACTGGGAAAATGAAAACTGAAAGGTCCAGGAAACCTGTACTTTGTCACTTCAGGTCCCGCATTTATATTTCCACTTTTTTTCATTTCAGTGATTAAAACTTCCCCTCATCAGAGACCTAACTATAAACTCCCCACCCACTTCCAACCACATCCCCAGATGCCCAGGATGGTCCCTGGTCGCCTGTGAGAAGAGGGACGTCGGCGCTCAAGTGAACCCTGCCGCTGGGAACTCGGAAGTAGAAGTTCTCCCGGGACAGGCAGAAGGGACTGGGTGAAGTGAAGAAAAGCTGAGGAAGCGAAGCAGGCAGGACTAAGGACTGGTCTCAAGCCCCAGTCTGGACACAACAGCGGGAGACAGCTGTCCCGCTCGACCAGAGAAGTCGCCTGACCCCAGAGCAGACAAACGGCTGGCCCCAGAGGTCTGGTGTCTAAAGCTGTTTCGCATCCCCCTTCCTTTCGTCTTCCCTGAAAGGCTCTGTCCTCAAACCTTCACAGTCCCAGGACTCACCCGTCCATGCCTGAGCTGCAGCTGCTTCTCCGTCAAAGCCGCCCACCTCTGAAAACCATAGAGACGAAGAAACAGCCAAGACAAGCCTCCACTTCCACCACCCACTCTCACGTGACTCTCCTAGCCGCTGGGCCTTTCGGGATCGTGGTGAAATACGTGTGGGAGGAGCACGGAGGAAAGGGGGTGGGGAGAGGCCCAGAAGCAACCCGCCCCGCCCGGACCCCGCCCCGGCCTCGGGCCCCGCCCTAGCCTCGGCTCCGCCCCCCTCAGTATTTAGGAGCGAAGGTAGGCTGTCACCGAGACGCTCTCTGGTTTTTTCTCTGCGCATTCTACCTCTATCGCCCTCACTCCCCGACACACAAGGAGTATAGGAATCTGTTAAAAAAGAGATTTATTGTGCCTGTTTCCGCCTTGTTGGTACCCTTTTTCGTGTTGGCTAAGCAAAAAGGAGTCAGTGAAAAAAGAATTGGACCACAGTAAGTTGGAAATTGTTATTTTCGAGCTGCATTTAGATTTAGGTGTCTGATAAAATTTTCCTATTTCCTGGTTTTGAAGTTTTTTTTTCAACTTAAGAAACCTCCTCACCGCTTCCTTTACTCTTAGATTTTTTTAAGTGTTCTCTTTGCAAACTAATGTTATTGAAGAGTTTCATCACTAATCTACTAGTAGCATGATGTTCCTATCAGAATTGAGGATGGAGAGGGGTCCCCTCTTCTGCTGTGGAAACAGAATGACAGTATTTTGATTATGATGTGAGAGAAGTTTTAAAGAAAAGTTTCTTCAAAAATTTCCTTAAAGCTGTAGAAAAAGTTACAGCAAATAAAACTATTAATATCATTGAACTGGGTGAAGTAAGTAGAACAACTATTTTCTGCATTTCTTCTCAGAGGACTGTCCCTCCGCGCTACCGTAAGAACGACAAATTATTGTGTTCACAGCACTGCGCTCTCACTTTACAGGCAACCCAATGTTTGTTTACAACCATCCTGCTGATGAAAACTTTTTATTCATTGGCAGGCTAAGACCCCGAGGTAATGAGCAAATGCTAGAGCTGGCACAGACCTAATCTAAAGATCACCAAGGACGTCTTAAGCAGTTTTCTTCAATCTGCTGTGCTCTGGATCTGCTTGCCACAGGAGTTAGGAATTTTGGCTGATTTGCTTCTTAGCTATCAAAATGCCTTTTCTGTATTTCTTTCTATTTAGAGCCTATTATCTGTTAAATGAAAGAATCTAATAAAGACATCCTTCCCCGTTTACTAGTAGGCACTTAGCATGGTATCCTTCTCAGGTAGCCCATCCATTCAGGCTGAAGATGGGCATTTCAAGTTGTGTCATAGGTTACTATCAAAAAACACTTTGGAGGCTCATGGAATCTTAACTGGTAGCTCGGTCAAGTGTTTCTCAGAATAAGAAGAAAGTTTTTTACATAAATGTTGGCCAAAGATCAATTATTAAGAATTGGTAAAATTCAATCCTGGTTTTAGTCAAAATTTGTCTAGGGACTTCCTTGGCTGTCCAATGGTTAAGACTCCCAGCTTCCAGTCTTCCTGCGGGAGCGAGGGTCATTCCCTAGTAGGGGAACTAGGATTCAATGTGCCATGTGGCCCAGCCAGGAAAAAAAAAAAAAAGTCTAAATTTGTCTATATAAAACTAAATGACCTGTTCAGCTAATTATTAAGTGTCATGTAAAAACATAAGTCACTGATCTTAAACTTTTTAGTTTCAGGACCCCTTTACACTCTTAAAAATTATTGAGAACTCCAACAACTTTTATGTGTTATAGCTATAAATACTTGTCATGTTTTAGAAATTAAAACTTGAAAATTTTAATTCTTTAGTCATTGAAAAAGAGCACATTGTATGTTGGCATAAATAGATATTTTAAAATAACTATATATATTTTAGTGCATCATGGTTTTACATTTTTGTTAATTTTTTAATGTGTGGTTTGTAGAAATAAGATCATTCTCATATCTTTTCTTCTTTAATCTGTTTCCATGTGTGTGTCTGTACACACTTAGTCGATCAGTCGTGTCTGACTCTTTGCAACCCCATGGGCTGTAGCCTGCCAGACTCCACTGTCCATGGGGATTCTCCAGACAAGAATACTGGAGTGGGTTGCCATGCCCTCTTCCAGGGGATCTTCCCAACCCAGGGATCGAACCCAGGTCTCCCGCATTGCAGGTGGATTCTTTACCACCTGAGCTACCAGTGAAGCCTAATCTGTTTCCATGTCAGTCATCAAATAGCCACTGGAAAGCTCCACTGTACACTCTGAGAATGAAAGTGATAAAGCCAAATACAGCTTATTATTATTTGGAAAAAACTCTTGCCCTCACAGATCACTAGAAAGGGCTCAGGGAACCCCCGGGAGTCCATGAACCATACTTTGAGAAGTCTGGTTTAAGCCATACAAATGTCAGCTAATTTAAAAAACAAACAACAACAAAAAACCTATCATCAAGCAGAACATTTAGTGGAAAGAGGGACAATACAGAAGAGACAATACAGACAATTTACAAACTAGACCAGACTTATAAATGTGAGTACTCTTTCTCCATTTTCAGGAGCACAGATTAAGTTATTGAAATTCAGGGTCATAACTGAACACAGCTGTATTCTGCATTAGAAACTGGTACACCAATCCAATAATGTCTTTCTACCTGCCTGCTATCCAAGGTGGTTCCTATCACATGATATATAATACCACTAAAATAGGTTTATAGTCGCTGCACAAATTAATATTAAGGCTCAAATAAAGTTTGAAGTTAAAATTCTTTTCATAAATATATATTGAATGTCTGCAACATGCAAGGTTCATAATAGGTGCTGGGCTTATAAAATTTTACAAGCACAGTTCCTGTCCTTGGGCAACTTATATATATATAATAAGACTTAAACCCTGGTATAAATATATTTTTGCCACATTCAGTGGTTCCCAAATGAGTTTGATGATCAACTGTCTCAGAATTATTTGGGGAAATTTTAAAAATACATATTCCTGGCTTAAGAGATATGATGTTAAAGTGAATCAGGATGACGCTCAAGAATTTGGATTTTTTTAAAGTGACCCAAGTGTTTCCATATAATCATGGGTCTGGAAATGAATACAAAGTACTTGCACAAAAAATGGACTTGGTCTTTGTCCCTAGTACTGTGCTCAGTCTTGTTTGACTCTTTTGCAACCCTCTGGACTGTAGTCTGCCAGGCTTCTCTGTCCATGGGATTTTCCGGGCAAGAATACTGGAGTGGGTTGCCAGGCCCTCCTCCAGGGGATCTTCCCTATCCAAGGATGGAACCCGTGTCTCTATGTCTCCTGCCTTGGCAGGTGGATTCTTTACCACTGAGCCACCTGGAAAGCCTGTCGCTAGTAATGTGACACATAAAATATGATCTCTTTATTTCATCTTCAATATTTCAAAAGTGTATTATCATTTGAAGACCTTGTTATCAAGAGACAGAGTAAATATTTTTCATTCAGTTAAAATAGAAATTGACATACTTATTTCAAACATTGTATAGTTTGTCTGCCTTTATCACATAAAAATAATAATGTGAGATGTTACCATAGCAGTTTGCATCACATGACACCACTGTAAGAAGCAAAACATCTTTTGCAACAAGAATCTGATGACAAAGTGTTGTTTTATAGAGCTTCGATTAAATTCCTTTAAAATGAATTCAGTGAAATGCCCCATGTTCCATTATACTTATCTTTAGGATTCCACAGATTAGCTTATAGTATTTCAAAACCTATATAGTTTTTCTTCATAGTTTTCTTTTGAGGATATGTTATGTTTGAGGAGCTATTGGGAGACTTATGATCCATAGTTTCTGTTGCAGTCAGTGTTCTTTGCCAGTATTGTAGCCAGAATTATATTGGAGTAAATAAGACAAAATTTTAAAAACAAGCTTAATATTTCCTTCTTTCTTACCACAAAGAGGGAGAAAAGAAATAGCTAACTCGGCCATAAATATGATTTTAAAAAGTTGATATATATATTTCTCTTAAATCTTATGATTAACTTCAAAATTAAAGACTCCCTGCACAGATCTTGATTTCTAAATATTTTCCCCCATGAAAAGGAATCAAAGCTTCTTGAACAAATGGCTGATTTCAGGGCTATCACAGGAAGGTACAAGATGATCTGGAACATCCTGTTGTGTCAGAAATAAGTGCTCAAAAAATAAATGGGGGCATGTCAATAGCAGCCTGCTTGAAGGGCCTCTCATTGGGCAAATGTGGGATAACTAGAGTATCAAAATAAGAACAGTAGTGAATTATGATCCACTGAATAAAATCAGAATTTATTCATGTATTTATTCATGTATTCTAATGAGAGAGAGAAAGAGAGGGGAAAAGGAAAAGCTGTTATCCACAGAGCTTTCCCACTGATAGATGGTGCAGTTGGAAAATCATCATTTTGCAGCTATCATAGAAAAGATTGGTTTGGAAAACATCATCAATGGATTCTAAACCTAGGGGGAAAGTTTGATGAGAAGCAGTATTTTTTTCAAATCTTCAAAGTATTTCTTCATGGATTGTCAATTTTTTTAGAAGTATAATAGAGTGGGGCAGGCCCAACCCTTAGCATGTGGCCGTCGTTGGACACCATTACCACACAACCCATTACCAGGCAATGGTTACCCCAAAACCGCTGACACAGGGTGGTTAGAGTGGTGGTTACAGGTCCTATTCAATCACTGATCGGCACCACGGGGGACTGCTCCCTCAAGTGAGCAACTGTTAGTAGTGCTGCTCAGCCGTTGGTTGCCACTACAATGGGCCTCTCCCCCAAGGACCAACTGTCAGTAAGTGACCGGTAGTGGCCCATTCAGCTAATGGTCAGTGGAATGGCAGTTATCAGGCCAAGAATGAGGTTAAGAGTGGATCCTGGCCTTCTCACTGGGACTCTCAGGCTCACCTGGCCTCTGGCCAGTGGGTAAGCTGCAGGGCCCAGGGAACAGGCTAAGGGGATGTGTCCTGCAGAGCTCCCCAGCCCTCGCCAAGGCTGCCCACTGGGCCAGGCCCAGGCCTTGAGGCAGCAGTTAACCTCTCCCCAATCCTGCCTCTGTGAAGTAATGGCATTGTCTGTCTGCCTGGGGTATAGTCTGTGGGTTCTGCCTCTGCCGTGTGGGCAGCCTGAGGAGGCTGAGGGCCAGCTGAGTCCTAAATGCC